CCACACTGCATACCCACACTACACACACACATGCTACACACAGACACACTACACATGCCCACACTATACATGCTATACACACACATACTACACACATACACACAGTACATACAGCCACATGACACACACCACACACATGCACACACACTACACAGGCCCACACTACACACACATTACATACACCTACACTACACACCCTACACACATACACACTACAAAGGCCCACACTACACATGCCAACAGTACTTATACTACCCACACACACACTACACATGCTACACATGCCTGCACTACACACACACTACATAACACACTACATGCATGCACCACACACACACTACACACACCTGCACTACACCCCCAAACACCACACCTACACACAACCCACCCATGTACTGTATACACCCACACTCCACACACCCACAATACAGACACACCCACACTCACCCGCACTACACACCCACACACGCACACACACGCAGAGGCAATGCATCCTCTACCGCTAGCCCTGGCGGGAAGGGAGTTCAGAGAGGAACCACCAGGAAGGCCTGCCTGGAGGAGGTGGCAGCCGCTGGACCTGAGGGCCTGAGGGTGTGTGGTCAGGGGAAGGGAGCCAGGACCTTTCCAGTGGAAGGCAGCAGAAGCAGTGGACACTGGCTGTGGGAGGACCTGGGGGCTGTCTGCGTGTGAGGCCCATTGTGACTCTCCCCACCAGCCCCGCCTGCATCCCCCACATCCTGTTGGCCAGCGACTCTGGCCCCTCCGACTGACTCCCAAATGGCCGATTATCTCTGAGTGCATCCCATCGATCGTGGCAGGTGTGGCTGGCGTCTCCTGAGCCGAGGCTTGCTGGTGGCTCGTCCCCTACCCGCCTGGCTGCTCCACGCCATCGGATGGCCTCATTAGGGCTAATTGTCCTGACATTTCAGGGCTGACAGGAACAGGGAGAGCTCTCTTGTCTGTCTGGGCACTGGCTCTTCTCCCTTCCTGCCTGTCCCCAACTGCCTGGGGCCTGCAGGCGGGGCCAGGCTGGCGGGGTGAGGCTGGTGGGTAGGCTGGGGCCCGTGAGCCCCACTTGGGACAGCCCTGTGAGTCTTTGTGGGGTGTGCATTCTGCAGGGGTGGAGTGGGCTTCACTGCCCCTGTCTGCTCAGGGCACTGTGGATGCAGAGACAGCAGGGGGGACAGGCAGCACCCAGGAGCAAGAGGACTCAGGGAAGGGGTCCAGGGACTAGTGTGTCTGTGTGTCTGGTGTGACCGTGCCTGTTGTGTGCATGTCTGAGTGTAAGCATGTTTCTGTGCGTGAGCATGTCTGAGTGTAAGTATGTCTCTCTGTGTGAGCATGTCTGAGTGTTAGTGTGTTTGTGTGTGTGAGCATGTCCTTGTGTGTGTCTGTGGATGTGTGTGTGTCTATGTGGGAATGTGAGCATGTCTGTGTGAGTACGAGTGTGTCCATGTGTGTCTATGGGTGAGTGTGAGCGTGTCTGTTTGTGTGACAGTGTGTGTCTGTGGATGTGTGTGTCTGTGTGAGTATGAATATGTCTCTGTGTGCCTGTGTGTGAGCATGTCCATGTATGTCTGTGGAGGGACATGTCTGTGTGTGTGAGTGTGAGCATGTCTGTGTGTGTGAGTGTGAGCGCACATCTGTGTGTGAGTGCATCGGATGTGAACATGTCTGTGTGTGAGCATGTCTGTGTGTGTGAGTGTGTCGATATGTCTGTGTCAGCATAATGCATCGGGTGTGAACATGTCTGTGTGTGAGCATGTCTATATGTGTGTGAGTGTGTCAATGTGTCTGTGTCAGTGTAAGTGTGTCCTTGTATTAACATGTCTATGTGTCTATGTGTGTGTATGTGTGTGAACATGCCTGTGCATGTGTGTGTCCATGTGAATGAATGTGTTTCTGTGCAAGTGTGTCTGTGGGTATGTGTATCCATGTGTGTGGGTGTGTTTCTGTGTTAGTGTGTGAATGTCTATGTGGGGGGCATGTCTGTGTGAGCATGTCTGTGAGTGTGTGTGTCCATGTGTGTTAGTGTGCGTATGTTTCTGGGTGAGTCTGTGTGTGAATGCCTCCATGTGTCTGTAAATGTGTCTATGTGAGTGTGTCCATGTATGTGTGTCCGTTTGTCTGAGCATGTCTGTGTCTGTGTATCTCTGTGTGTGAGCGTGTCTCTGTGTGAGCATGTCTGTGCATGTGAGTGTGTCAATGTGTGTTAATGTGTCTGTGTATGAACATGTCTGTGAGTGTGGGTGTGTGTGAGTGTATCTGTGGGGGGGGGTGTATCCATATGTGTGTGGGCGTGTCTTTGTGCTAACCTGGCGTGTGTGTGTGTGTCTCTGTGAGTGTGAGCTCAGCTGTCACAGAGCTGTAACGCAGGACTGTGTCTGTGTCTGTGTATCCATATGTGTGTGGGCGTGTCTTTGTGCTAGCCTGGCGTGTGTGTGTGTGTCTCTGTGAGTGTGAGGTCAGCTGTCGCAGAGCTGTAACGCAGGACTGTGTCTGTGTCTGTGTATCCATATGTGTGTGGGCGTGTCTTTGTGCTAACCTGTGCATGTGTGTGTGTGTCTCTGTGAGTGTGAGCTCAGCTGTCACAGAGCTGTAACGCAGGACTGTGGGGAAGGCTCAGGCAGCAGTTGAAGCCCTGTCTGCTGCTGGAACCACCAGAAGTGACCTCTGGCCCTGGGTGTCCACCCACACACCTGCCCACCCACTCAGGCACCCGCTCAGACTGGGAGACGGAGGAGGCTGCAGCCCCAGGAGCTGGTGGGGTCGGAGTGGGGGTCAGCATTAGTGTGTGGCTGGAAAGGGGGGCTGCACGTGGCTGGGAAGGCCCACCTGAGCCTTGTGCCCACTACAGCAGGGCCAAGGCCAGGTCCTAGAGCCACAGGACAGGCCCTTCTAGGGCATGTGGGGGCCTAGGTCCCTGCCATAGTGAGTCCCCCCACCTGAGGCTCCTCAGCTAGAGGGTGCAGGAGGGGGTGCCCCCTGGAGGGCCAGGTGGGTGAGAAGCCCCAAGCCCTATAACGGGACCCTGAGGTTGCACACGGACGCCAGGTGAGTCATGTGGGGGCCGTCTGACACAGACAGTCGTGTTGCCATTATGGACTATCAGCCCTGTGGGGCTCGGAGCACCACACAGGCCTCCTAATTGCCTGGGGGCGTCTGCAATTATTTGGATGCTGGCAGGCAGGGGGCTGAAGGTGGAGGCCAGAGAGTGTGGGAGGCAGGCTCTGACCAGGGCCCCATCCCAGCCACAGCCAGGGAGGGGAGGGGGCTGCCCAGAGCCCCCAGCAGAGCCCTCACTGCCCCGGGCAGGGGCCTGGCCCCTGTACCTTCTCTCCTAGGCCACAGGCCCCTCCTCCCAATGTCCCCCTAAAGCCCTCCACCCACAGTACTCAGCAGGCCTCCACCCCCTGCCCTGGTGACTTTGCTGATCCAGGGCTTTCGACAATAGGGACCCCACTCCCATGGAGATGCCTGACTGTGGCCGCCAGAGAGCCCCTCCCCACCCCTGAGCTCCCAGCCCGTGCTCCCCCTCTGCCTCCACCCCCCCACACCCCCCCCTGGGACTGCAGATGAGCAGGGGCCAGAGATGGGAGCCCTGCTGGGGGAGTCAGGGGTACCCAGACAGCTTCACCCAAGCTTGACCGGCTCAGGTGGAGGAAGAATATTAAAGAACTAGGTTTGTTGCTGCAGATGTTTGCTGAAAGGTTAAACCCACACCCGCAGCCCCGCTGGCGTCTGCGTGGCATTTCAGAGCTCCCCCTCCTGCCCCCCCCACCTCTGAGCGAATGAGCAGGGCCAGGGGGCAGGGAGCGGGGTAGGCCCAGACCTCTGTCACTGAGGGGTCCCCAGCAGCCCACCCCCGAGAGACAAAGCGAAATTGTCTCAGAGCCCTGGGGGCTCCCGGGGGAGGCCCAATCACAGGTTCAGCAGCCGGCACCCCGAGGACCATGGGCTCTGGGGTTTCTATAGGCTGGCACTCTGGGGACCATGGGGACCAAGGGGGTTCTGGCAGCCTAGATTCTCCTGGGGGACCATGAAGGAAGGAGTGGGGATTTCGGGGGGCCTGGGCAAGAAAAGGGGCTGGCAGGGAGAGTGAAGGGCGGGAATCCCAGCTGGTGAGGGTGGCTCCCCGGGCAGCCCCTCCCTCCCTGGTGGGGGGCAGCCTGAGGGCAGTGGATTCAGGACGGCCAAGGCCCTGTCTCGGGTACCAGTTCCCCTCACCCGCCTCCTCCATGTTCTGACCTGAGGCTGTTCCAGCCAACCCTACAGGCCCAAGGGAAAGGGGGTCCTTCTGTGGGAATAGGGGACATCTTCCCCGGAGGGCCAACACCATCCTAACTCCATCAGCAATGCGTGTGTGGGTGACCCCCCAGCAGGTGGGCCAAGAAGGGGCCCCGCCCTACCCTCATCTCTCGGGGTGACCCCAGAGTAAGACCACAGCCCTTCCCTGGCTCCCCATCTCCTCCATGCTGAAGGGACAGATGCTTCTGGAACATTCTGGGTGTGCCTGGGCATCTGGGCCCGGGGCCCTGTGCTGTGGGGCTGTGGGTGGGGAGCAGTGCCCCGCTGATGACACCCCGTGGAAGCGCGCTGCTGGGACCCTGGGGGGCATTTTACAAAGGATCTTCTGGAAAAGCAAACCAATGGTCTTCTGACCCCGGAGAGGTCCGGCCGCGTCTGCCCCTCCGGCGCCTTCCTTCCAGCCGTGGGCTTCCAGGGGCTAGGGTCTGCTGGCGTGGAGCCTGCCTGTGCCCCCCAGGGCCTCGTGTGGGAGGATGGGCCCCCGCAGCCCCTTGCAGAGAGAAGCCCCTCACCCTGGCTGCAGTGTGATTCACAGGCCCGGCAGCCCCGCCTGGGTGTCTGAGACGTGCACGCAATTAGATTTAATGGGATAGAGCCCTTTTCCTGCTGCCTCCCGCTCGCCCACCCCGCTGCCCTTGGGCGCAGCAGGCAGGGGAGGAGGCAGAGGGGCTGATGCAGGGAGGAGGGGACCCACAGGGCTCTGACGTCAGCCCGGCCTATAAGAGGCCACTGGCAGAGGGCTGTGGGCTTGGACTCGGACCTCGCTGCCATGCCCACCCCAAACGCCGCCACGCCGCAGGCCAAGGGCTTCCGCCGCGCCGTGTCTGAGCTGGATGCCAAGCAGGCTGAGGCCATCATGGTGAGGACGCATGTAGACACCGGAGCCGACGGGAAGCCCTGGCCGCTGTGCCTCAGTTGCTCCCCAGGCTGCTGGGTCAGCCCAGGCTCAGCTTCCACACCAGCTCTGGGCTGGGGGGTGGCATAGGGTCTCAGAGCCCTCACATTGGGGCCGTGTCACTGGCTGCCTGTTTGTGCCTGGGGAGAGCATTGAAGACCGGACCCGAGTGTGTGTGTGTGTGTGTGTGCACGCGCGCTGGTGCGTGTCCCCAGAAGTGTCCCTCGCATGTGCTGGCCCCTCTCCCGATCCTTTGGGGCCTCTCTGCCTTGGGTTTGTCTTCCAAGAAGTTGAGTTTTCTTTCTGAAGCTTGGAGACAGGAGTGAGGAAGATGCACCTCCGTGGAGGGCTGAGAAAGGAGCTCCCATGAGCAAGGTGGTCTGAGGTCACAAGAGACCCCCACACTGTGACCTCCCTGCTGTGAGCCCTGCCCACCTCCTCCAGTCCTCTGCCTGCCCATCCCCGCTGCCCTGGTCAGCACTGGGGCGGGGGGAGCAAACCAGTCCCGGAGAGACTGTGGGTCGGCTGTGCTGGGGAGCACGGACTGAAGGCAGAGGGTGATCCAGTTTCTGCGGAAATGTGCTCCACCCCCCCCCCCCCCCCCCCCCCCCCCCCACCCGTCCATCTGTTTGTCTGTCTATCCATCCATCCATCAATCCACCCGTCCACCTACCACCCTTCCATCCATCCATCCATCCATTCACCCACCCATCCACCCACCCATCCATCCATCCATCCATTCACCCATCCATCCATCCATTCACCCATCCATCCATCCATCCATCCATCCATCTAGCCATCCATCCCTCCCTCCCTCCCACCTACTCACCCACTCACCCATCCATTCACCTATCCGTCTGTCTATCCATCCATCTGCCTATCCATCCATCCGTCCATCCACCCATCCGTCTGTCCATCTGTCCATCCACCCATCCGCCTGTCCATCCGTCCATCTGCTATGTACACTGTGCTCCCGTGCATCCGACTCTCCGTCCATCCATCCACTGTGTGCACTGTGCTCCTGTCCATGGAAAGGAGAGAGGAACTTCCCTTGGCTTGAACCCCACCTCTCACACCCTGCTACCTGGGGCCTCGCTGACACCCCAGAAGATGTCCTGGGTCCTGGTACAGGGAGGCTGTGCTGTGCAGACCCGGCCCGCCCCCTTGGCTGAGTAGACTCAGGGGCCCTTCCTCAGTCAGGAAGACCCCCCCTTCAGCCTCAGGGACCTGTGACACAGCCTTTTGTTTGCAGAAGTTTACTGAGCAAACTGCTTTTCCAGCCAACAATTCCTACACATTTTGTTTGGTGACATTCCTTGTAATCCCCGAGGTGTAACTGCTCCCTTCCCACTTCCTCCCTGAGTTTCCCATCCCCTTCCTCCTTCTTCCCTCCCCTCCCTGCCTTCTGAGCTTTATCCCTGGGAGATTCTGCCCTTCGGGGATCTCACAGGCGCACTGTTCTGGGGAGTCCATGGGCCCCGGGGAGACGTCACCTCTGGGCCTGTCTGTAGGTTTTAACGAAAACTCTGCTAGCGGTGAATTCAATTTCTTTGCACTTTAGCAGGAGCCCACTGTGGGGTAAAGAACCCTCTCCCCCATTTCCAATGCCATTCCTTCCTCATGGGGGCCTGGGACACCCTGCCCCCCAGTCTCGGCCTGGGGCTGTGGCTGTGTCCACTCCCCAGATGGGGCAGGGCCCCCAGAGAGGCTTCTCCCACTCCCCCAGAGGCTTGATGTCCTGGGGCCCCTGGGGCCAAGGGCGGGAGCTGCTTCCCTCCCTTACAGGGACCAGAACCCTGGGAGCCCAGACTTGCATGGCCTTGCCTAGCCAGGCTGGGGGCGCTCAGGCTCAGCGGGAGTCAGGGGCAGACAAGCAGCCAGCAGTGGACGCCCTCCTCAAGGTGCCCTGTGACGAGGGCTCCGATGGAGCTGGAGGGGTGACGGGGGCCCTGGGGGAGGGGAAGGGCAGATGGGAGGGTGGCATGGGCAAACGGCTGAGCACTGGGAGGCGTGAGGCCGAGCCCCGTCCCCTGGGCTGTTGACATAGGAAGGGCCAGGAAGGCTGGGCAATCCTACTTCCGTAGTGATACTGCCTCGGAAACCCCAGGAGGGGTCGCTATGAGTCGGGGGCCGACTCCACGGCACATAACAACAACAACAACAACCATGGGGACAGGCAGGCAAGGTTACAGCCCCCGAATCCTGCGGAGGGGCTGGGAGGACTGCAGGACGGGCCAGCTGTGGGGCTGAGCAGGGTTAGGAGGCTGCGCCCCTGCCCCCCGCCCCCTGCCCCCCGCCCTGACTGCTGTCCAGCTCAGGGGGGGAGGGGACTGCTGCCTGAGTGACTCTCTTCCTGCCACCTAATCCAGTTAGGGCCAGCCTGGGGACAGAGGTGACACAGCAGCTAGTATGGCAGGAAGTCAGAGCAGTGCAGTCAGAATTGCCCTGGGCCTTGTGTGAACTCAGCAGCCAGGCACCCCGACACCCAGTGGATGCCCTAGCATGCAGTGGGGGCCCCAGCACACAGGGGATGCCCCAGCACACAGTGGGGGCCCCAGCACACAGCGAGTGCCCAATCATGAGAAATGGCTTGGCTTCCCTGCGTGTCCTTGGGTGTCTTTTGTGCAGACCCCACCAGAGCCATCAGGAGATGCCTGTGGGTGAGCAGGGCAATGCCTGTCCCCACAGTCCCCACGGTTCATCGGACGGAGGCAGAGCCTCATTGAGGATGCCCGCAAGGAGAGGGAGGCGGCGGAGGTGGCAGCAGCGGCGGCGGCGGCCTGTTTGGAGCCCGGAGACCCCCTGGAGGGCGTGGCCTTCCAGGAGAAGGAGGGCCGCGCTGTGCTAAACCTGCTGTTCTCCCTGCGGGGCATGAAGCCTGTGCCCCTGTCACGTGTCATGAAGGTGTTTGAGGTGAGGCCCAACGAGAGCATATGCACACATGTGCACACACACATACCATATATGTATATGTACTGCACACACTGCACACCGTGCACATGTGCGTGCACACCACACATATACACACAATGCACATACATGCAGACGCACACACACAAATGCAGCACATATGTCATATGCATGAACTCACATGCACACATGCATCCACGGGCACATGTGTGTGCAGAGCCATCTGTGTGCAGGGTCATCTGTGTGCAGGGCATGGTGGCCGCCCAGGCCATGAGAGGAGAGGCTTCCAAGAGCCTCGCACAAGCACAGATCTGAGCCTGCTCTGGGTGGGGGACCCTCACCACGCCCTAGAGCTGGGCCACCGTGTCCCTGCCCTCTGCCTGTCCCACAGTGGGGCCAGGAGTGGGCACAGCCCTGGCAGGGCAGCTGCGAAGTGGGTCGAACGGCTGTGTGGTCCCCTGCTGCACGGGGCCCTGGCTGCCATGGCCACTGATTGCATTACCTGCTCCGGCCACACCGGCCAGGCGGAGGTGACCTAACTCCCAGCAGAAGCTCCCAAGGGACATTAGAGCTGGACTCCTTGCCCAGTCCCTGCAAGGCCACAGGGCTGTTGCCAAGGAGGTTGCCACGTGATGGCGTGGTGGCTGTCGGGGACACAGAGGGTCTCTGGGCCAGCACCCACACACACAGCTGCCACTCAGTCTCTGGGGACAGAGCCGTGCCATCACCACAGTGGGGTCCAGGCCCTGCTGGCCGTCCCTGGTGCACAAAGGCCCGCTGGGATCGAGGGATGTGTGTGGGCAAGGCCTGGGGACACGTGGGCAGCACCCACCCAGAGGCAGCCAAGGGAGCTGCCGTGGGGATGGCCACCGAGACCAGCAGGACGAGCCCCACTCCCCTTCATGGCAAATCCTGCCGGGGCGGTGGGGGCTGGTCGTGCGGTGGTGGGAAGCGGGCTGGGGAAGCCACCCGTGGGGCGAGGGGCTCACTGTGCTGACCGCAGGCCCAGGCCCTCCTCCCCTGCCTCCCTTCTCCCTCCTGCCCCACCCCCCTTCCGTGCCCTAAGACCTTTGAAGCCAAGATCCACCATCTGGAGACACGGCCAGCCGCCCGGCCTCAGGGCGGGGGCCCCCACCTGGAGTATTTCGTCCGCTTCGAGGTGCCCCGCACCGACCTGGCCTCCCTGCTCAGCTCTTTACGCCGCGTGTCCGAGGACCTTCGAGGCGCCAAGGAGGACAAGAGTGAGACGGCACCCCTGCCGATGGGTGGGACGAGTGACCTTGGGACCAAGGGCAGAAACTCCTGCAAACGGAGGCTCCAAGGGGATTGTCACCCTCCTTGTCCACCACGGGCTCCTAGCCCTCCCCCAGGCCCCTGCTACCCACCTGCTCCTCCGGGGAGCCTGGCCAGAGGGTGGGGCAGGCTCCCACTCACGCAGCCCCTTCTTTCTGTCCCATGAAGTTCCCTGGTTCCCAAGGAAAGTCTCCGAACTGGACCAGTGCCACCACCTGGTCACCAAGTTTGACCCGGACCTGGACTTGGACCACCCGGTGAGCATTCCACCCAGGCCTCCCGCCGGACAGGGTGCCCATGTCTGTGGGTGTGATGTGAGCATGGGGGCTCAGCCCGCCTGACGCTTGGGGCTATCTGTCCAACCGCTGCCCAGCCCACCATTGGAATTGCCGTGGTCAAGCTCTTGCCCAAGTCAGCAGCGGTGGGGGGGCTTGACAGTGCCAGACTTCACCCCTCTCGGCTCCACCCCTCCACTCTGACCCCACCCCCTCGGCTCTGACCCCACCCCCTCGGCTCTGACTCCGCCCCTCTCTGCTCTCAGGGCTTCTCGGACCAGGTGTACAGGCAGCGAAGGAAGCAGATTGCAGAGATAGCCTTCCAGTACCGGCAGTAAGGGGTCCTTAAGGACCTTCACCCCCAGGGCCCTGACCTGGCCCTGCAGCTGCGCCAGGCTGGGCAGGGGGAGGGGGGAGCAAGGGGGTCACCTTCATCCCCTTGCTCATTGCAGCAGACAGGGGGGTTCTCCAAGGATTTTGCACATGTGGACCTCTGCACCCACAACAGTGCTCCAGGGAGGGTGCTGGCATTGTCCCCAAGCCACACTGAGGGAGCTGAGGACAGTGGGCACACAGCTCACAGGCCACACAGCCCGTCCACAGCAAAGCTGGGCCGTGGCCGCACAGCTGCTGTGTGTGCAGACTTCTGGCCTCCCTGACCACGGCTCCCTCCCGCAGTGGCGACCCGATCCCCCGCGTGGAGTACACGGCAGAGGAGGTTGCCACCTGGTGAGACCTGTGAGGGCCAGCTGCGGGTGGGCACCAGGAGAGTCTGGGGCCAAGGGAAGGGGGAGCTTCCCAAGCCTCAGATGTTCAGCCTGGAAGGAAAAAGCTGCCTCTCTTGCCGGCGGATGACCTCAGGGGGCCCATGGCCAGCCCCCGCATGGACCCCGGTACCCTGGAATCCCCCAGGCCTCAGTGGCTGGGTCTTCAGAGGCCTGAGGGACCTGGAGCCGGGTGCTCACGGGCAGCCCCAGCTCTGAGCCCCTCGCCCACAGGAAGGAGGTCTTCACCACCCTGAAGGGGCTCTACGCCACGCACGCCTGCCGCGAGCACCGGGAGGCCTTCGAGCTGCTGGAGCGCTTCAGCGGCTACCGCGAGGACAACATCCCGCAGTTGGAGGACGTGTCCCGCTTCCTGAAGGGTGCGTGGGCGGCCGGGCGTGCCCCCTGGGGCAGCAGCCTGGCGCCCCTCTGTGCCCCGCTGCCTGCGACCCCCACACTGTGCGCCGCCCTCCCCGCCCCGCCCCAGCCCATCGCCCCCATGACACTCCCATCTAGTGGCGCCCACCCCATGACACTCCCAGAGCCACATCTGCCGCCACGCCCTGTGCTCTGACCGGTTGCAGAGCGGACGGGCTTCCAGCTGCGGCCCGTGGCCGGCCTGCTGTCCGCCCGCGACTTCCTGGCCAGCCTGGCCTTCCGCGTGTTCCAGTGCACGCAGTACATCCGCCACGCGTCGTCGCCCATGCACTCTCCGGAGCCGTGAGTGCGCGGGGCCCGTGCAGCCTGCGGGCAGGCCTTGGGGCCACCCTTGCGGCCGAGCGGGCTCCCACGTGCCCTCCTCCCCCCCGCCCCGCAGGGACTGCTGCCACGAGCTGCTGGGCCACGTGCCCATGCTGGCCGACAGGACCTTCGCGCAGTTCTCGCAGGTGCGGCCTGGGCTCGCGGGTCAGCCCCGCACGGGGGTGGGGCGGGCGGTGAGGAGGGCCGCTGGCCCCAGCTCCGCCCTGCACCCAACTCCCGGGTGACTTTAGGGCGCCGGCCCTCTGGAGCAGGGGGAGACGGTAAGCCCCGTGGGGCGTGTGGCACCTTCCAGCAGGCCCTGCCCCTCCGCCGGCTGTCCCCTCCCTCCACGTGCGGGCCCGGGCTGCGTTCCCGCGGCCTCTGCTGACACCTGCTGGCTGCCCGCGGGACAGCAGCACGCGGTGCGGGGCAGCAGGTTGGGGAGCTTGCACCCTGGGCAGCGCATCAGGGTTCCCCCAGGGGCGGCTGCTGATACCCAGCACCCCACGTCACGCTCGCCCCCAGCCACCCCGCTTCAGCCTCCTCTTCCCTCCGCAGGACATCGGCCTCGCGTCCCTGGGAGCCTCCGAGGAGGAAATTGAGAGACTCTCCACGGTGGGTCCCGGAGGCGGGGCTCAGGGCATCCAGCCTCCCGGGGGGCGGGGCTCAGGGCATCCAGCCGTCTCGGGGGCGGGGCTCAGGCCGTCCAGCCTCCCGGGGGGCGGGGCTCAGGGCGTCCAGCCTCCTGGGGGGCGGGGCTCAGGCATCCAGCCGCCTTGGGGGCGGGGCTCAGGGCGTCCAGCCTCCCGGGGGGCGGGGCTCAGGCCGTCCAGCCTCCCCGGGGGCGGGGCTCAGGGCGTCCAGCCTCCCCGGGGGCGGGGCTCAGGGTCCGGGCTGATGCTGGCTAGGTCCCGCCCAATCGCCACATCTGCGCAGGGCAGAGGGTCCCTGGCACGGGGACCCCTTGCCAGGCCCCGAGTAGCCTGCACCGCTGGCTGGTGTCCGCGGCTGGCACTGACCGTGTCCGTCCCCCAGCTGTACTGGTTCACGGTGGAGTTCGGGCTGTGCAAGCAGGACGGGGAGGTGAAGGCTTACGGCGCGGGGCTGCTCTCCTCCTACGGGGAGCTCCTGGTGAGCGCACGGGGAAGGGCAGGGGCCCCAATCCCTCCCTGCCGCGCTGGGCGCTCCATGGGGGCTGAAGCTTGGCAAGGGCCTAGCCACCCCCTTAGAGGAACGGGTTCCTGGGGTTACCAGCCTCTGTCATCGAGCTGCGGCGGCCCCTTCTGGACAGTGAGAGGCCAGGAGGAGGGATGGGTGTCCGCACCGGAGTAACTGTGGCCTCGAGGCTCAGCCCCGACTCCCTCGGGCCCTGAGTGACCCGCCTTCTGCAGCACTCCTTGTCGGAGGAGCCCGAGGTCCGGGCCTTCGACCCTGATGCCGCGGCCATACAGCCCTACCAGGACCAGACATACCAATCAGTCTACTTCGTGTCTGAGAGCTTCAGGGACGCCAGGGACAAGCTGAGGTAGACACCGTGCCATGTCCCCACACGGTGCAGCCGGGCCGGGCCTGTGAACCCGTTTCACACCCGAGGAGACCCACCCTCGGTTACGGCCCCCCTACAGCTGCCACAGCCTCCCTGAGCAGGAGCCCCAAGGAGCTGGGGGCTGCAGGGCCAGGTTCTTGGGGTGCCCTGAGGGCTGGATCCCCAAATAGGCTTAGGGACTGAGACGCACCCCAGGACTCTTCAGGGTATAGTCAGGAGGGCTTCCTGAGGGGAGGGCTGGCTGAGCTGGGAGGTGCAGGGAGGCATGGGAGACCACAGTGGTCTCCACTGCCCCAGCCCTCAGAGGGCGCCAGTCTCCCCACCTGCATGGGGATGGTGGGCAGGACGCGCTCTCGAGTAAGTCTTGGAGGGGTCTGAGCGCTCCGGCTGCCCTGCCCTCTCTAGGAGCTACGCCACACGCATCCAACGCCCCTTCTCCGTGCGGTTCGACCCGTATACGCTGGCCATTGAGGTGCTGGACAGCCCCCGCTCCATCCAGCACTCACTGGAGGCCGTCCAGGATGAGCTGCAGGCCCTCGGCCACGCGCTGGGCACCATCGGCTAGGCGCAGGGCCGTGATCCCCACTCCTGCCAGCCTGCTTGCCCTGCCCCAGGGCACAGGTCCATGTGAGGGGCTGGTCATGGGCACCACCCCAGCCCCCACTCTCCCGCTTCTCAGCTCTGCCCAGGTGTGTCGCGTCTGCTGCTGTCCCGGCCCCGAGTGGGGCACCACTCTTCATGATTCAATAAAGACAGAACCGTGTGTGTTTGTGTGTGTGTGTGTGTGTGTGTCTGTCTGTCTGTCTGTCTGCACGGGGCTCTGTGTCTTCCCAGGGACCCAGCTCTGCCCACGGATTCTAGGCCCTCACATCCTGGCCTAGTCTCTCCTCTGTCTACCTCTTCGGGGATGGGTCTGGCACTGACTTGCCATGTGGGGGGGCTCAGGCCAGAAGGGAGTTCTCCACCCCTTCGGCCTGGTTTTCTGCTTGGGCCAAGGGGCCCAGCCTGCTCAGACCCCCAGTGACATCTCAGACCTTGAGGGGGTACAAGCTGGACTTCTTGTCTCTGTGGGAGCCAGCAGTGTGGAGGCAGGGTCTGGCTGACCTGCAGCCCTGGGGCCGAGGGCAGTGCCAGGCTGTGCTGATGGGGGAGGACGTTATGGTCGCACCCCATCTCCCCGTGCCCAGGAGTCCCCTGTAGGAAGAGGGCAGGGTAGAGTTCCTGAGGATGTCAGAGGAACAGGGCAGGCCGGGGGGTGGGTGGACAGCCTGGCCTTCTGCACAGCCATCTCTGGCCTCCTCAGCGCACCCACCCCTGGCTTGGGAGCAGGACTTGGAAGCTAAGAGGGGCCTACGGGCTCCCAGAAATGTGTGCTGAAGAGTGCAAAGATGCCAGTCTGGGCCCTAACTCCGGCCAACACAGGGCTGGGGTGGAGGAGCTGGGGCAGCCTCAGTCTCGTGGCTCACAGGGTGGGGGTTCACCCCAGAAGATTGCTAAGGAAGGCCACCCAAGGCGGGGTGCAGGCCATGGGCCAGCATGAGGGGTGAGGATCAAAAGGAACCTGGTCCATGGAGTCCTGGGGGCTGCACATGGGGCCGTCTGCTCCCCCACTTTAAAAATGAAGAACGGGCCGGAGAGAGACAGTGTGAGCCTGTGGAGTCCCACAGCCATCTCGTTCCCCCCCCAGGGGTCGCACCTGGGGCAGGTCTGTCCCCTACGGCCATGAGAGGGGTCCTAGGGGGCCAGAATGCCAGGGGCAGGATCTGACCCCCTCGGCTGCCCTGCTGCCATCCCCTGCCCCCAGCTCTCCAGACTGACGTGGAAACAGTGGGGCCGGGTGCGATCGCTGTGCTGGGGCACCGTCTCCTGCTGGGATACGGAAAGCAGGGTCATCAAGACCCTTGTTAAGATGTTAATGACCCTTCAGCCAGAGGTGCAGATGACCAGGGACGTGCCCACAGGTCCATCTCTGGGGAAATGATCCAGAAAGTGCCACCTCAGCCCCCAGCCGGCCATCTGCTGCTCCCACCCCCAGGGCTCTAATGGGCCAGGTGGCAAGCTGGGGGCCAGGGAGGTGGGCTGGGGAAGGAGCTATAAAGCTAGTGCGCTGGCTGCCCCCAGCTGTCTGGACCCCTGCCTACCCTGTGGCTATCGCAAGCAGGTCTGTGTGGGTGCAGGACCCTAGGCTGGCCTTTTGAAAGGAGGCAGGGGGCCAGGGCTCCTCTTCTGGGCGCCTGGGGCTGAGTGCTGGGGTGCCGGGTGCTGGACACCAGGCTAGCCCCTTGCAAGGGCGCAGGGGGCCGGGGCTCTTGCCTGGGGTCCTGAGGCTGAGTGTTGGGGGAGGGGTGTGAGCCCCCAGCCGGCCTCAACCCTGCCTGTACCCAGGTCCTTGCCATGGCTCTGTGGGTACGCCTCCTGCCACTGCTAGCCCTGCTGGCCATCGGGGCACCCCCGCCTGCCCGCGCCTTTGTCAGCCAGCACCTGTGCGGCTCTCACCTGGTGGAGGCTCTGTACCTGGTGTGCGGGGAGCGTGGCTTCTTCTACACCCCGAAGACCCGCCGGGAGACAGAGGACCTGCAGGGTGAGCCCCACCCCTCGCTTCTCCCTGGCAGGGGCGAGCATGTGGCTCTCCGAGGGATCCAGGGAGGCATTTTACAAGGAAAACAAAGTCCGCAGCACAGCACAGCTGGACCGGGGCTGGGAGTGGGAAGGGAGGATGGCGTTGGGACCAACACTTCACAGCCCGAGCCAATGGCACCTCAGAGCATGGTGCCCTGTCCCCTCCGCACCCAGCTGCTCCCTTAGCTGCGGCTCAAACCAGAACCCCCATTCCTCTCCCCTCCGGGCGCCGACACGGCTTACAGGAGGGCTGGCACCATGGCACCAAGCCCTGGTGACATTGCTGTGGAGGGTGGGGTGGGGTGGCAGGTGCCATCACCCTTGAGTGGGGTGGAGCCCGAGGCTGTGTCTGTGGGAGGGGCCTGTCTCAGGGGTGCCCAGAGGGCCCGGGGTGGGCCGAGAGGGGTGGGCTGGCGCGGGCCCCCGTTTGGGGTCCTGGCTGTGGCATTGCCTGGGTCTAGAGGAGGAGCAGCTCCATGTGTGGGCTTGGCCCCCAGGCCTCCGTGCTGGCACCTGGCGGCCCTGTCCTCTGAGCTGAGTGGGAAGGAGGGGTACAGAGACGGTGACAAACCCCACTGTCCCAGGGCCCTGCAGGCCGGGGCGGGGGTGCCCCCTCTCTGGCCGGCTCATCCTGTCAGTCCCTCAGAGGGCGCGGTGGGCGCGGGCGGAGACGCCCCTTCTCTGACCGGCTCGTCCCCGTCTGTCCCGCAGCGGGCATGGTGGGCGCGGGCGGCCCCCAGCCCTTCCCCGCAGAGGTGGCACGGCAACAGCGTGGCATCGTGGAGCAGTGCTGCACCAGTGTCTGCTCGCTGTACCAGCTGGAGAACTACTGCAACTAGAGCCCAAGCAATAAACCCGTGGGCCGGCTCTGCGTGTCTGTCGTCTGTGCGGCCGGGGCGGCGTGGCCACTGGGCAGGATAGGGTGCAGAGGGGCAGGGCACGCACCACACCTAGAGGGTCCCCCAGCCAGGATCTCCTACCCCGTCTGCCTCAGGGATGCACAGAGAAGGCCCATCGGAGTCCCTGGGAGCCTGGGGGTGCAGGGTGGGCCTGCCAAGTGCTGCACCCTTGCTCCACCCAGGGCCCGGAGCCCCCAAGCCCCCAGAGAATTTCTCTAGGAGAGAAGTTTGTGGCTGGGTGTAGGGGGCTGTCCTGTAAGGTCCAGCTAGTGCATGGAGGAAAGGGGGAGGCCAGGTGGCCCCCACTAGCCGAGGGGGGACGGAGAGCCCTGCAAATACCAGGCAGAGGGCCCCCACTGGCCGAGGGGAGATGCAGAGCTCCATGGTACCAGGCAGAGGGCGCCCACTGGCCAAGGGGAAACAGAACCCTATGGGTACTGAGAAGAGGCTGGAGAAATAGTGCAATTATTGGGGCTGGGGTTTGCACAAGGCTCCAAGGCCAGGGGCCCCACCTCCACAAAGATCTGGCAGCCAGGCCCAGCTGACCACAAACGGGATGGCTGTCCCAAAAGTGCCTGAGTGCCCCAAGGACAAGGCCACACTGGGTTCAGTTTTGGGGAGACCCTGAAGAAGCTTGGGTACTCCGGACCTCAGCCTCCTTCCAGCACCCACTGGAGTTGAGCTTGGCTCCGCTAGGCACCCAGTCCAACCAGTGGCAGAGGTGAGCCTGGGGGCTGCCTGGGCCAGCCGGGCCTGAGGTCAGCAGCTGACCCTGCTGCCCAGAGGCCCGGCCAGCCCTCTAGCCACCCAGGCCAAACCAATCTACATCTGTCCTGCCATCGCCGCCTGGGCTGAGCTGGGTGGCCAGGGCCAGAATTGGGCACCTGGGCCCAGGTGGCCGCAGCCACTTAGAGGCCCACCTTAGAGCTGGGCGGAACCTGCACCAGGGCCAGCTGGCCAGGCACCTCCGTGCAGCCCAGGGGCTTCCTCCCAGCCCCCTTCTTGGCTGGACCCCTCCCATCACAACAAGTGATGTCACAGGCCCCCAGCAAACTCCGCCCCTGGAGTGGGTCAGGGCCGGCTGGAAGAGGACAGGGGACACTGCACCCGGAAGAGGTGGGGAGAGGTGGCCCGATCCCAAGCAGACCGTCCAGGGGAGCCCAGGCCGCTCAGCTGCGTGGTGGAGGCGCGGGTGTCCCGCAGGTGCGGAGGTAGGTCTGCACGGCTGAGCCGGCCACAGGGAGCCCTCAAGGGCAGTGGGCCCAGCTGGAAGACTCTGGGGGAGGGCTGGGGGCGGCTCCTCCCCCTCAGGTGGACAGTGGGGGTCCATCCCAGGCCCACAGGCTCTGAGAGCAGCTGGAAGCATCTGTGGAAGGGTCAGGCTTTCTGGGACCCCACCTCCTCCCGGGAGGCCTTTGACCTGGGGTGTAGGAGAGTGTATTCTACGCCCTCCCGGAAACAACTTGGCCCAGCCGTGTCCAGCTGTGGCAGACCGCTGCCCTCTGTCCCTTGTAGCCACGATGAGATGTGTCCCAGCCTGGTCCCCGGGACCTCTGTTGAAAAGATTCCACAAAGAGCCTTGGGGGCTTGGAGAGTGGGTCATCTCCCTATCACTGGCACATGGATGAGGTCATGGGGGCAGGGGACAAGGGGCAGCCCAAAGTCACGGGGCCCAGAGGTGGAGGAGATGGCTCAGCTCTAGGCTCCTGGTGCTGATCACAGAGCCCCCAGGCCTCTGCCCCCAGGCCGGCCCACCTTGCCCAACCCTCTGGGCATGGGGAGGGAGCTCAGGTTTTCTCCCTCAGACCTGGACCCCCTTGGAGCCTGGCTGTCCCCTGACCTGCAGCTTCCCAAGACCCCGACCTGCTGGCCCTCACAGATGTGGACAGTCCCTGGTGGGGTCTGGGGAATGCTGCCCCATTGTAGCCAGCTGGCCCCACACATGTGCCCAAATGCATATGTTGCACTTGTCTGTCTCCTTGTCCCATGTCACATGTGTGTGGCTGGGCCTGGCACCCCAGCTCCTCATGGGGAGTCTGAGGCCCGGAGCCAGGCTCTGTCCCTAGAACAGAGTGCCTGCCCCTGCCCCAGTCTCAAGAGGTCTTGCTGGTGGGCACAGCTGCCTCCAGGTAGGCCTCCCGGGTTGCATCCTCGGCTGAGTTGGCACTTCTACCCTTGGCACTGTTATTTGCCTTTTTGGCGACAGCATCAGCAGTAAATATTGACCGTCCTTGCTGGCGTCCAGACCAGGACAGACCCTGGGGAGTACAGAAGGTGGACGCAGGGGTGCTGAGGGCAGCCCTGCCTGCTGGCTCAGTGCCCGGTAGGGACCCAGGCCCAAAGGGACAACCTCCAAATGGCACTGGGCAAGGCTCCCAGAGAGATGGCGGGCAGTGCCCGAGGCATATCCACGTCCAGCCACGCTGTGGGCGGAGGCACAGCTGCAGCCCTCTGGACCCACATAGGGCCACCCCTCCCCAGCAGGGCTTTCCGGGCAGACTCCACCTGTGGCCACAGCCAGGCTGGCCATTTGAAGACTCGCCAGCAGAGGGCGCCAGAACCTCATTTTTGATGCACAGTTACTTCCCTGGGTCTCTTTCTGTGGTAGTCCACTGTCCAGAGAGATGTGGCCCCGCTCATACATCCCCTTGCGTGGGCACTCACGGGGCTGTAGGGGTGCCTGGTTGGGGGGCTGCCTGGAGTCCTGAGGATGAGAGGGGGTAATCCGGGGGTCTTGCTCCCCAGTTCACCCCTGGGCACACAGGGCAGCTGGGCAGCCTTGGGTCTGGCCCCCAGCCCCTGGATTCAGGGAACTTCACCCAACCACCCGTGTCCCCGCCGCCCCAGCCCATCCTTGGTCCTTGCCCAGGTGGGCCCTTACGTGGGCTCTCCAGGGCCCGGGGGACACTGAGTCTGGGGGCTGCTGGTAGGCTGCACCCCCTGGCTCTGCTTATCTCTTCCTTGACCACCGGAGCTGAAGGCCAGGTTCTGTCCTTGCTGAGAGGTGGGGTATCAGGCCCAGGAGGTGCCATGATGGGGCCCAGCTGTCACATGGGCACCCATCCTCCCAGCCCGGAGCTGGGTGGACAGAGTTCAAATGCAGAAAAAATGTTTGGGGGTGGGGGTGGGCAAGGGTCTGGGAACTGGAGACATCAACAGGGCGGGGCAGCACCCCCCACTCCACTCTCCCACCACCCTCCCATCTGGAAGTAGTGTCCCAGGCCTCTGCCTGCGAGAGACAGCAGGGTGGTTCATTCAGAAACTGCAGAGGCAGGTGGCCCACAGAGCCCAGCCTGCCAGCACCCAGCCCTCAGCTCAGAACCCCACTTACTGCCCATTGGCCAGGGATGGGTGACTGGGGACAAGCTCTGAGGTGCCCACTGGGCTGGGGAACCCTGCAGACTGCCTCCCAGGACTTGCTTGTCCCACAGCTGGGCACTGGATGGGGAGCTATGTCCAGGGGGCCCCGGGGACCCAGGCCCAGAGTGTCCACAGGCCAGCCAGGGCTTGGGGTCCCTTGCCCCAAATGCAGTGGGGGTCTGCCTCCCCGCCTCTTCCCCATAGACACCAGAATATCTAGAACCAAGGACTCCTGGGGCCAAGGCTGCAGGTTCTCTGGGAATGGTTTTAGATGAAGCTGGACCCCCTCCTGCCCCCAGCTGGGGCTGCCTCAGCAGAAACTTGGGGGGCAGGGCTAATGGTGGCCCCATATTCCTTTGTGACCCATCTGTGTTTTTGGAAAACAGAGCTGGTACTCCCTCCGGCACCCCCCCACCGGCACCCCAACAGTACCCCCACCGCCGGCCCTCCAACAGCACCCCATGTCCCCCCACTGGCATCTGCCATCATCTTCCCACCAGCACCCCCCAACTGGTGCCCCAACGGCGCCCCCTCCCACACTGGTGACTTGCAGCTTTCTTCTTCAAAGTCCCTTCAGAGCTTGGTCCTGGTCCAGCCAGTCCCTGTGCCTCCACCAGGCTCGCCGCCCACATCCCCGACTTGCTGTGTGAACTTGGAAGGCTGTCTCCCTCTCTGGACCTCAGGGTCCAGACCTGAGAAACCTGGAGGAGGTGCAGAGCGTGTTGGTGGTTCAGTGGGTGACGTCAGCCCTGGGGGGCCTGTGGCTCTGGGCTCCCAGCCCTGCCCCTGAGGTCTGACGTGCACTGACACGGGTGGGGGAGCCATGAGCCTCCATGGCTGCCTGCAGGCGAGGACTCAGCCCAGGCCCAGCAGTGGGAAAGGGGGGAAGAGAGCCCAGGTCCAGGCAGGAAGGAGAGCTGCTGTGAGACAGCAGGGGGTGCTGGGGCCTCCGGGAGGCTTCCTGGAGGAGGAGGCCTCGCCCATGCCAGGCTGCTACTGGACACGCAGTGGCTCCAGATGCTGCCCATGCCCCCTTGTCGGGACACAAGGGTTCCATGGAGCTGCCGTCTCTAGGCCATCCCCAGTGGGCCCGGGCTGGCCTGGAACCCTTGCTGCTGAGTAAGAAAGGGGTGGACATCAGGCTGACTGGGTGCAGGGACAATAGGCCGATCCAAGGGCAGGCGGGTCCAGCAGGAGGTATCTACCAGGGTGGCTGCCTCTGCAGGGGTTGGGGCTGCAGGCCCTGGGGACACCCTTGGCCGATCGGCGGCTCTTCCCTGGGAGTCGTGGGAGCAGCTGAGGCTCTTGGAGCCTGGGTCCGCAGGGTTGGTTATGACGAGGCTGGGACCACTGGCCAGAGGACACAGACCTGTCCTGTGTGGGAAAGGCACCATCTTCATGGCTCCAGGCACGGCCACGGGGGTGTGGGAGACACCTTCCCAACGCGGACCAGCTCCCCGAGGAATAAGCCCCGGGGCTGGTGTCCCGGGGCTTAGCACACTCCACATGGAGGGGCTGGGAGAGGCTCATGACGCTAAGGTGGAACCTGCGGGTCCCTGTGTTCCTGAGGCCTGAGGCTC